GTACCAGGTCGTAAAGATAAATGGAGACATTATTTGGGACAATTTGGAACTCTCAAATGTGGCAGTAGCAAAGTATCGCCATCGCCTGAAAAATGTTGACGTTTTTAGTTCAGCATTTAGTTCCGCATCCATCCTTTCCGTATTGAATAACACTTTAAGCTCTCCCACAACCTCTGATAACCGGGGTGCCGGCAAAGCATTCCATGAACGCATTATGCATCTCCTGGCTGCCAGCAAGCGATGTGTATCCAACCTGAGCCTTTGCGTACAGGAGGAGGAGTTGTATCCAAAGAGTCCCAGGATGCACTGAACAGGAATAGCAGAGGAGACAAAGGTGGTGACCAGGACACAATGGAAGTGATGTAGGTGGAGATTTGGGACCAGAACACGCTGATAGAAGGGCAGAACCACAGTCTCGCACATTAGAGGCCGAAAGCGGCGATGTGTAGCAGAGTTGAAGTTTGGGATACAGCTTCTAGATGGAGTAGTGACCAGTGTGCATCAGAGTATCCAAGAACATCGGTGTGAGGAACGTCTTGGGGTCCGTCTAAATTTTTTCTAGGTTTCCGATATTTGCAGAATTTGTAAAAAATGAGAGAGCGGGAAACAGAATTTTGTAGAAAGATCACAGAATGGAATTGGTTTGTAAGAGTCCTCCAGAAATAATTGTCTCCAAGTCCGTAACCCCCGTTGGTGCTGCAATCTCCACAAGTCATGAAAGTCCATTGCAGACATCAAAGTAGGACAAAGCGGATCTCGCAGACCCTGAGGAGGGACATCTATCCAACGGGAACCCAATGGTCCTCCGCCTGTCCTCGGATTCATGCATCGTGGAGTTGAAGTCACCCCCCACCAAGTGAAGTGCCGTTGCCGGTCTGGAAATCCAACGTGCTAACGAACTAAAATGATGCATGGTGGGCGAGTTTTGCATGTAGACATTCGTGATAACGAAGTCCAACGATTGATGTTTCAGGTAGATGGACAGCAGCCTGCCCTCTGCATTGTGGTCTACATTCACAACCTCCCCTGGGAATCGTTTATGTAGTAGTATAGCCACTCCTGCTCTACGACACGCCGAGGGGGAACCATAGACCTCTCCTACCCATTGTTTCCGAAGGCGAGGAAAATTCTCCGCCTCCAGGTGAGTCTCCTGCAGCAGGGCCACATCTGTGCCCAAACGTTTAAGATGCCTCAATACAGTGTTAAGCTTTCTAGGGGATCAAAGCCCCTTAACATTCCAGGACACTATTCGCAGGGCAATCCCCCGTGTGAACGACATGTACCCAAGCAGTTGAAATCATTAATAATGGGGATAGAGGTTAGAGCAGGGCAATAGGGGCAGATTATGCTTACCCATTCCAGGTGACCCCTACAGCCGAGCGAGCAGAAGGGCCAGGTGCAGACACGATAGGCACAGCGGGAAGATCCCCAGTTGCCACATGGGAGTGAGTGCGAGACCTGTTAGGCAATCAGCAAAACAGTTAGTTGAGATTAAAACTAAAAAAACGTTAACAACAAATAACCAGGTAACAGAAAACAAAAAACATTGCAGTATTGACTTCACTTTTTTCCAATGTGTGCAAACGGGAATAAGTACAGCAACGTCCTGCGGGGGCCGCTGAGCCTAGCAATCAGTGGCTAGGTGCGGGAAAGTCCAAGGCTATGGACACAGATGCCGCAAGTCTCCCTCATAAGGCATAGAGCGGGGCACAGCTCCTCACTGGTGACAAAACAGAATGCGATGGCCGCCCGTTTGGAGGTTGGTCAGCGATTGCGGTATTTGCAAGGAGTACCCCCATGCCGTTTCGTAGATTTTTCTTGGGTGATTTTTGGGGCAGGGCTTGTTTGGAGGGAAAGCCTTTGCCCTCTTCGAGTTTCAGGAGGAAGGATTCCGCCTCCTCAGGGTCTTGAAAGGAACATTTGCGTTCCCGTCGGCGATTCCAGGTGAAGTATTGCTGGATAGGCTAGTGTGAAACGAAGCTGCTTCTGGTGTAACGTGGAGCAGACCTTATTGAAGGTCCTGCTTTTCTTTGTCACCTCCGCTGAGTAGTCAGCGAATAAAATACGTTTGAAGCCCTCCACCTCGAGCGATCTGCGGTTGCGGTAGGTCTGCAGAATATTCGCTTTGTCAGCGTAGTTGAGGTAACGAGCAATGACCGGCCGAGGTGACGATCTACTCTCCTGCAGGGGACCTAAGCGGTGAGCCCTCTCAATCACACATGGGGCCGTCAGGCCTAGCACTTCAGGTATGGCTGTGGAGCAGAATTCTGCCAGTGTCTGGGGCTTATATGTTTCAGGAAGGCCGATGATTCTTATATTGTTCCGCCTGGAACGATTCTCCAAATCATCTAGCTTGTGCAACATAGCCTGCGAGGCGGCATCGTGAGCAGCTAGTTTCAATTGAGCTTCATGGAGATCGTCTTCCAATAACGATATACGCTGCTCTGCTTCTTTAATGGAGTGAGCCTGGGCAGTCAGCTCCTTGCGTATTTGGGAGAGGCCCTGCAGCATGGCTGATTCCACTGCTGATGTAATGGTGGGTTTTAATAGTGCAGCCACTGCTACAGCCATTCTCTCATATGTATCAGCATCTGGGCTGGCAGCCTGGGACCGCGTGGGGGAAGGGCTTCTCTGCTGAATTGATGAGTCAGCCATCTTACCCCCACGTGTAGAGCGTGTGTCCTCGCCGGATCGTGTCAGGGACTGTGAGCGCTGCTTCGTCCCCGCAAGAAAGCGATCCATCGGGTCCCAGGGAGAGTGGCGAGTCAGGCAGCAGCAGCGGGTAAGAGCCTTGCCGGTTTTATATTAGATAGCGGCCGTTACCGCGGGAGCACCGTTTCCCTGCTGGCTATCACATCGGTGCCGGAACCGGAAGTCAAGAAGTTCCTGAACTTTCCTTTTAAAGGACATAAGAAAAAAATGTAATATATTGCAGCTTACTAGTCCTTGGATGCATTATTATTTATTTTCATACAGGCATTTATATAGTGCTCTCGATTTACACAGCACTTTACATACTATGTATTTACATCAGTCCCTGCCCTCATACTATTCCAGTTTAGACAGGAGCTAATGAACCTACCAGCATGTCTTTGGAGTGTGGGAAGAAACCCACACAAGCACAGGGAGCACATGCAAGTAAGGAAATGTGTTACTGGCAGGATCACCAGATGAAAAAAACAAACATAACCCCAATAAAAAAGAAACCTAATAGAGTCATCACATCAACATGGCGATATTTTACATTATTGGTTTGGGGCTTGGATATGCTTTAATATATTAGTTGCCTGGCTGCCATGCTGATGCTTTGGCATCAAAACATTCAGAATCACTGACCTGCAACAAGAATATAGATAAAGAACCCTGACACTCAATTTTTTTGTTTACAAGAATTGAAGCCAAGTTCATCAGAGTTGGCGTTGCTGCTCAAAGTGGGAACTATATAACGATCACCAGACCTACAATGGGATCCATTTGCTCTCCCTCACTAAATGCACAGCAAAAACTCAGGTTGCACTCCAATGAAGCTTTTAAATAAAGCTGGCTGATATAAAAAAGGCTTTAGTGGAACACAACCTGAATTTTTGCTGTGCAAGTATTGAAGCAGTCAGGTGGCTAGCATGTTGTAAAGGCGACCAACAATGGCTAGTGTACTTTCCAGAAAACCTGTTGCGCGTATAGAGTATATGGGAATACCAGCATATTGGCATGGCAGGGAGGTGTACCAGGAAACCAAGAAAGACTGGCGTGGCAGGCTAGTGTACCAGGATACCAGATGGCCAGAGTGATGAAATGCATCCAGGATCCAAGGCACGCAGAGTGGTGTAATTGTGTCCAGGGCACCAGGTGACCAGGGTGGTCACATAACCAAGTTGTTGGGACGAGTGTGGAGCAGTATCAAAGGGCTCAAAGACGTGTGAACAAACATTGCATGGGTGTCTGTCCACCGTGTACGCCAGCTCTTGAGAATTCAGTCACATGATATGGCCATGTCTGATTGGCTGCAGCTGTGACAATAGGGTTGAACCCTGGAAGTCGTGGGCCCTAGTAGACCTGCCACTGGAGCAAGGAAGGTTAGTCATCTCTACAACCTGTATGGTTTTATTATGATGCCACCCAGTGACCACTGGGTAATGCCCATTTCCACTTAGCAACCCCTACCTCACAAACCCACAATTTCCTCCTTGCTCAGGGTTAGTTCCTGGCTTTCCTAAGTATGGGAAGAAAAGTATTCTTTTTGACCACCAAATGCTTTACGTGCATGTCAACTATATCTAAATAACATTTAGTTTGCTATGGCACTGTGTAATATGAAACGCCATTTTTTTTTCCTTCAAATTAGGCACCTTTTCATCCTTTGTTACATCTCAATACTGCTTCCCTCCTGCAGTCTTGTGTAACCACTTTCTGACTATATGCATTCCAGCAATGGCCACATGGCATTTCTCAGGGTGGGTTTTCCAGATGGTAAATAGAGCAGACCATGCTTGTATAAAGTGTGTTGAAATGGCCACTTGTAGTCTCCATCTGAGTGACAGGGTAACAAAACAAGAGCACAGATCTGAAACAGGAACAGAGCGTTGTCACCTATTAGCGTGTCAATCATATGTGTATTTTCATATGGCAGAGTACTGGTATCTTTTATCCTCCCAGAATATCTTGTTTTCTGCATTCTTTAGACACAAGGAAATTATCTACATTTTGTCCAATCAGCCAATTTTGAGACCTTAATTGAAGAATTAATTGACAACAACCTGACTCTGACCCGTATTTAAAAACACTTTCCAAGAAATGATATGTTAGCCAATCAGAGCCGGCGTGCAGCGTCATCAGAATTGCCGCCTCATCCACAAAGCCAGTAACAGCGGATAATAGAATTTAGCTTATGGAAGCAGAATCAGGAATGGCAGTTCCTGTTTGCTTTAATCCTCCATGTGACAGGATATGCCTTTATCATTTAGAAGGCACAACTTTCCCTGTGTCCTGCAGTCTTTCCAAAGTGAAGGACTTGACTTAAGCTACAGCAAGTTTCACTACGACTTCGATCGCCACAGTATTTACATCAGAACTGTTTCCTTTAAACCTGGGAAGAATAATGAGATATTTATAATGATTGCTTCCATTCTGCTTATACTTCTGCATGTGATCCGGCCGACACTTCAGTTGGGTAAGTTATGAATCTGTATGTTTCCATGTCTTTTTGCGTTGACAAACAGCACAAGCATCAAAATGGGAATATGTATGACTTACTATGTAAGTCATTTTGTTTGTTTTGGAGGTAATGTTATATAATTATTTAAACAATTACTTTTCTCTTACATTTTAATTCCCAGTATCCAATGTAATCTAACATCAGCTCAGCCATGGCTTTAGGAGGATGGAAATATAGCAGTTGCAATTGCTGGTTTTAAAGTTGCAACCTTCAGGAGCTCTTATCTGTGTCTGGCTCCTGGGCCTTGTACATATAGGCTTTAGTTTGTCAAATACAGATGTGTACAGCAAGCTATTACACAGTCTTTGCAAAGCTTACTGCAAGTGTTAAGCAGTTGTGTTAAAATCGTTAAAGCAAATTTCAGTTCTAGAAAAGGCATATTAACTATAGATGTTAATGAGAGTGCTGACTGTCACTAGCAGGCTTTCAACAAGTTTCAAGTAGTGTTGATGGTTACTGAATGTTGTGATCTTTGACAATTTTTGAGAATGAATTACTTCTAAATATAAACTACTAAAGAGGTCATTGATGGCTTGATTGGAAGATCGTTTACTTCTTGTTTTGGTAAATAGTTCAAAGTCTCTAGTCTGGGCAAGGGTGCACTTTACCCCCCCCCCAACTGGATCTGAATGGTGCTTTAAAGGCTTCAACAACTAAAAAAAGGTAACATTTGCAAAAGCTTGCTGTATACACTGCTCTTATATAAATGAATGCCCATGTTGGGCAAGGTTTTAGCAAGTCTTAGATGTAACTAATATGTAAGTCAGGAGTTTGAGCTTCAATTGTTGCATAATTATTAAAAATCTGTGAGTAAGTAGGGTCAAGCAAGGCAAGGATGTGGATGAAGGGCACATTTTTTGCACCTTTAAAATCCAAGCTGGCAATGGAAGCTTCTATATATTTAAGAACCTGAGCTGTTGCCTTTCACATGTGGATCTGTCTGAAAGGACAATATTTTCGCACTGGTTAGCAACCGTCGTGTCACCCTATGGGGGTCATGAACACAGATACAGTCTCAAAAATTCTAGGGTTTCTAGATTATTAAATATGCATCATGAGCCAACTGATGATGGTGGTCCCAAAGCAATGCATGTCACTATTGTCTGTCTTGTAAGCTGTATGTAATTAAAAGGAAAATCCCTGAACAAAGTTTTCCCCATGATAGACTATAATTTCAATACAAATTAGTAAACTAAACATGAGATTGTAGTCCATCACAGGAGCAAGCTTGGAGCAGTGACTACTTTGCAACACATAATGGTACCACAGGGAACAAATGTAGCCACCCTCCAGAAGGAAGGACAGTGTCAGCACCAAATCAGAGATGATTTGAGGATCTACAGCCGAGTGATACACAAATAAGATACATTTCTGTTACTAGTTAGGGGACTTGAATGTATTTGTAAGGTTTAACTCCTGAGTTTAGTGTCACTTTAAATGATCAAACCACTCATAAATGCAATGATAGTTGCAGGTGAAGCCTGTTGAGCTCTCTTGTATCTTCCAAAATTAAACTCTCCCTGACACAATTTCTGACTCTGTTCCTGTCTACCTGTTAGTATAAAAGTAATGAGCAGAGTTCAAATAAATCATCCATGTTTGTGACTTGAGCTGAAAAGGTTGAAAGTATCTTTTTACACTCTTCTAACTGCCAGTATGCAGAAATTGAACAATTGGAGACTGTTGAAAGCTAATCCTGATGTCCACCTCCGATGCCTGGGTGCAATGGCTGCTCCGGAGCTCACCTACCTTCCTTGCTTACACCAGGATTAGAAAAAGGACATCTCATCTGCACACTGGGATCGCCAACATCCCAATACAACTTTATTGTACGAAACAGTACATGAACCCAACAAGCGTCCTCCCTCTCTGATACATATTGTCCAGACTCCAGCCAATGGGTTTAGTCTTAGAATATCTCTATAACTAAGTTTATTGGCTGTATGCAATGCATCAGAGAGTTAGGATCCTGGTGGGATCCATGCACTGTCTGGTACAATAAAGTTAAGATGCAGATATTGGGGTGCGGCTATATTCGCGGATATATATATATTTTTTTTTTTAAACAAATACAGACAAACATGTTTTAGAACATGTCAGAAGGTAACTAATTCTGTCTGCAAGCATACATATCCACCTCTCATAATTATGTTGAAAAATCTGTGCTTATTTTCAAGTATGAAGGGCCCCTGTAAAACACTGTTCATACCTTACACCTGATCCGGCGAATTTGCACAATATTCTTGCTGATGATTTTGTTTTATAAAAACAGTAAAACATTTTCCTCAGTGAATAAACAGCAAATGTCACATTTACTGCTTTTTAATTATGCCCATAGATTTGTATTTTTTTTATTTCAATGAAAGGGAAGACATGTTTAAAAGAGAAATGCTATACCTCATAATTTTATGTATTATTAATTCAATCATATTTGCCAGGATAGTTAATTTTATTAAATGCAGTTGTATTTTTGTATGATGGTAGCTGTCGTCTTTGTTTTGCCTTTTGTGACTAGACCTTTTTTTCCATTCAGCACCTATTTTTCTTAACACTCCTATACACACGTGTAACGCTATGTTAGAAATGTGTCGTGATGTGCCATGCTGTGACACAATTCATATTTTGTTCCAGCAAAAACATTAAGCTATAGAGAAAGTGAATGGCTGTTTTAACCCGACACCATAAGACTAACCCATAATCAAAGTTCAAGTTGCTGTCGACCCAGTCACTCAAATCTCATATATTCTTTATATGTGATTTATGCATATAGACAGGAAGTGGCTGAAAGAGGCTGGAAGGGGGTTCAGCAGAACCAAAATTACAAAAAGGGTAAAAAGAAAATGACACGGCATTGTATGAATAAAAATGGCGATAATTTAATAAAATAGATTGAGTTGGGGTTCGTTTAGATCTACTTTAACTGTACAAAGTTCTTCACCATCAATCCCCATTCACACCTACACTCAATCTCATTTTTTGCAGTTTTTCCAGTTCAAATATTAGAGATGTGCCGCTTGTAGCTTGACACCTGTCACTTGAAAAAAACAGTAAGAACTGTGACATATGTTGCAATGAAATCCACCAGCAGGCCACAGAAAGATGCAGAGTACTAGTGAGGGATACGGCAGTGCTCTGGTATATCTGCGTTAAGATCTGTTACAGTTGCTCATTCATTGAATGTATCAGGAATATGGATTTTATGCTGCAAACATGCGGATGAGAAATGTTAAAGGTTCAGTTCACTCAAAACTAATATTTCAACTTTTGTTAGATGATTGAGAGTTAAACGATCTGACAGTTTCTTATATCTCTTGGGGACTCTATTGGTAAGATCTTTGCTCCTTAGTTCCTGTGTCTGCACACCTGCTGTGGTCAGTATGAGGGGTTCTTACTCTTTCTGATTTTTTTTTTTTTAAACTGGAACAGGCTTGTAGAATATAACATAGAATTTTACTACAGTGAAGGGGAAGGAGCTGATTATGCTGATGCTGAGTGCAGTAGGTCTAACTCTTGTTATCATTGGACTGATGGACATATTTAGACCCCCCTGGACAACCACAGTAACAGAAAAGTCAATATAAGAAGATTAAATTGGACATTGTTAGTACAAAGTCTATCTGACTGCATATCTAGGTCTATGACTCTAAAATGGGCTTTAAGCCAGCCACTTCCACCATTAACTATCTTATGTATCTGGACATTAAAGAGGTGATACCTTAGGCTCCTTTCACATGGGCGGTCCGATCGGGTCCGCCTGTCAGTTTTTCAGGTGGACCTGCTAGGATGCCCAATGTAAGTCTATGGGCAGCCGTATGTAAGCAGACGGGCCTCCATTTACACCTCGTTACCCCCTACTCCAGCCAGGTCAGAAAAAATAAACATAACAGTGTCCATTTACATCCAATTCTCCATAGACTGACCTGTAGTTCAGTCATTTGAGTTTTTTCCTCCATCGCAAGATGGAGGAAAAAAACTCCATCGATGGGGGAAAAAAACTGGATGGACTTGGATGTCACAGCGATTATATCTGATCCATACTGCTCTGATCAGGAGGGGATCTATGTACAGATTCCCTCCTGATCACCCCTTTTGAAAGGGTCCTAAAAGGCTATCTTGCGTTACTGCTATGGCAGCAGGATAACTTTACAAAACCACAACTAGCTGATTTTTATACTTACTTTGGATGTTGGCAATGGTAAACTCCACAGTTGCCCTGCCATTAGGGGTGGGATTGTTGGTTTTAATTTTGTATGGATATAATAAAGGTATACTTTTATGGGAATGCATTTGCCTCTTTATGTATATATATTTATTATTTCATTATGGGACTCTGTGACTACATGATGTTAAAAGGGACCTTGTAGTTACAATCTTTTTGGTTAGTAGCTAATCTTAATCCTTTTTTGTTTTAGAATCGGACACATTTTTGATTTACAATGAAGACCACAAGAAATGTTTACAAGCTCAGAAGAACCTCATTATTGTGGCTCCCTGTACAGAGGACAATAAAGCACAGAAATTCCGCTGGATCTCTAAGCACCAGCTGATAAATGTAGAAATGTCGCAGTGCCTGGGAGTATCCGCAAAAAAAGACATGAGCTTGGCCGGCTTGTTTTCATGCGATGGTGTTAGCGAGCTCCAGAAATGGGAGTGTAAAAATGAGACTTTGTTTGGTATACAGGGGGATAGCCTTCACTTGAACTATGGCAACTCAAAAGAAAAGGTGATTATTTATAAAGGATCTGGTGGCTGGAGCCGGTGGAAGATCTACGGAACGCCTGATGACTTGTGCGTTAAGGCCTATGAAGGTAAGGTGTCCTATTTAAAATAAAAATTTCTTAGAGATATATGGGAGTTATCAATACTGACCTGCTTCTAAAAAATACTGGTTGCCTGGCTGTTCTATTGATCCCTGGCTTTAGTAGTCCCTGTTAACTTCCCAGAGTTAGATTCCAAACAACCTTATAAGTGTGAATGTGATAAGATATGGCAGGCAGAGAGCTTGGAAGTGACACAGAACTAGCTTCAGGAAGTACATTCTCAGTAACCATTTGAGGTACTTTTTGGATTCTTGCTGCAGTGTTTTGAGAACTCAGATTAGGGCAAACTGCAGTATCAGCTGGGTAGCATTAGTAGCTCACTGACTTGTTTTGCTTGTTGTTTGGTATTGCTCTTTAGGCTGCACTGCCTTTGTATCATATTGGAAAAGATTCTGCATTGTCTTCAGAGCCTTACTTGACAGGACTCTTCAACATACAATTGAATTAAAACTTAAGATATTTGTAATTCTATTTTACTTGACAGGACTCTTCAACATACAATTGAATTAAAACTTAAGATATTTGTAATTCTATTTTGAGTTTCCTTTGTATAGTCTTACATGGTTATTAATTCTGTGAGTAAATGTTAATCAACGTGAAACACATTCTGCAGTATTTGGTGTAAACCCTGCCAAGTGCATTGAAGACTTTATGCAAAGAACTCTGGTTTGATGCCATCCTCTATCCTTTGTTGTGGGAAGTATTGTGCAGTGATGAGCCGAATTTGCTCCTGGAGGTTTGTAGCAGGCAAGTGTAGACCTACCTGGAGCAGTAACTGGCTATCTTGTTAATTCAAGAAGCTGGGATAGTTTATAACATTAAAAACTAATATTAAAACAAATCTAGCCAGCTAATTAATGAGGGGAGTAGACTATAGAACAAATGGAAGAACTTTCTAAAACCATCTTGCCAACATCAAAATTCAAAGGCATCAATTATTTTTCTTTCATGCTTCTTCATTGTCCAACTTTTAAATCCTTGGAGAGTGACAGGAAATACAATAGCCTGAACAATTCTGGGACAGCAAATAACATTAAAAACTAGTATTAAACAAATCTAGCCAGCTAACTAATGAGGGGATTAAAATGCAGAACAAATGGAAGAAATGTCTAAAACCATTTTTTTGTAAAATATTCAGATAATCCAGGATAACATGCTTACTTCATTAAATGCCATGAAGTCAATGTCCACTCTTTGGTGACTACATGGATAGTGTTTCTCAAGAATGATCTGTCCTTCAGCCTTCCCAATGGCGTATTCATACTTTCTGTGACTGTAACTACGTACCCTTCAGCTTTAGCTTAGTCATGTGGGTGTCTAGTGAAAGTTTTGGCCTGATTTGTTGTAGGAATCATTTGTATGTTTTCCTTATTGTCCATGATATTCTTAGAATTCTTTGCCAACGAATAGCAAAATTCAAAGGCATCAACACTTTCCCTTTCTTGCCTCTTCATTGTCCAAATTTCACCTTGGAGAGAAAATACCATAGCATGAACAATCCTGATCTTTGTACTTACAGATACATCAGGACTTTTGAAGATCTTTCATTGTCTTTCATTGTTGCTCTTCCAAGTGCCAGTCTGTTTTGTATTTTTTGGCTTCTGGATCCTTTTTTCGGTTAGCAACTGGTCTAAGGAAGCAGAGGCTGTCTGCTACTTTTAAAGGAGAACTATGAGGTGAGTGATTTTCACTCATCCTCATAGTTCTAGCCGACCTGTGACAATGAAACTGTCACAGGTCGGCTCAGTAGATCGGGAAGTGATAGGGGAGGGACTGGATTCCCCCCTCCCCGCTCTGGTGGAACGGACGGGGGAGGGGGCGGGTACAGCTGGCTCTGCTTCTAGATAGGCAGAGCCAGCTGTCACTCACGCAGCTGGGCGGATCCAGACATAATTGTCGGGATCCGTTTCAGCTGCGGCGTCTCAGTATACCGGGAGCTGTAGCTTGAGGTATACTGAGCTTAGGGTGACGGGAGGACGCTAGTTTGTGTCCTCCCGTTACCCTTAGTAGAACTATGGGGAAAAGCCCTAACCCCATAGTTCTCCTTTAAGTCTTCAAAACTCTCTAGTTGGCTGACTTTCATTGCTGCTTGTTTAGCAAGAAGCCAATGCAGCAACGTCTGTGAGTAGCTTCAAATCAGATAAGGCTTTATTGGGCACATGGGTGGGGGGTCAGCTTACAAGTCATTCCTCTAATGATCCTATAATTTTATTAATTTTGCAGATCAAGATAGAAAGCAAGCTTAAACACCATTGGTCAATGGTAACTTATTACTTCATATTTATGTATTCATCAAACAGCATTACATAAGTCCATGTTTACTTGTGTTCACCAGTTGGGTTCTTCAAGGTGAGGCTGAGAAGGTGGATGCAGTCTTCCTTGGCAATGTTCCTATTAGATGTGACTTCACAAAATTCCCTTCTTCGTGATGTTTCCGGGAATTTCCCTTCATAACTCATAAACCGTAAACTTATCCTTTCATAAGTACATTGCCTAAAATGGACGTCTATCTTGAAATGGCTGGCATTGCTACAAAATAGTAGCTGCTCATGTGATTCAGCAAGGACCATGAAATTTCGCTTCACATGTCATAAACTTTTTTTATCATTTGCTCTGTTTTGTTAAATTCCTTTTTTGAGGCCTGTTGCCAACCTGGACTGCCTGACCTTGCTCGTGTCTCCTGCCCCTAATACTGACCCTGCCCATATCGGATACTCTCCACTAGCCTTGAACTCAACATGCATACCAACCACTCTTTTGTCAGCCTCCTGCCTCAACCTTTGCCCAGACACCGACTACTCTCTCTCACCTGCCGCCTACCCCGACTCCTGCTTGTACTCCGACCTTCTGCTACTTCATACCACCATTACCACTCTGTTCCTGTGACCCCTTGGTGCAGCAATCCTAATGGTCGCAACCTGGTGATAGCCTGCAGCAAAATAGACTGGGGGTAACTAGGGTCACTAGCCCATCACCTTGTGGGTGCCCTGATGAAGACCAAGTTGTCTGTGCCTTGGATGAGCCTGCGCTACCACCTGGGGTGTCAACCGTAACATCTCCTGTACTGAAATAGCTTACTCTGTATTCACTGCACAGTGTGAATTTCTTGCAGTATGCACTAGAAGCTGTAACAAGTTAAATAGAGTTCGCCTCATTTTCTGGCTGGAGGACATCCAGCATCATCTAGTTGATTCCTCTCCAGTCTTATTGTCACAGGCCTGCCCCTTTTATTTATTTGAATCATGGATGCTAAGCATCACTTGTGGGCATTACCATAGCACCTTGCCTGTCGATGCCGATTTTCTGGTTTGGTTTTTAAAAATTATTGGTTTCGTTTTTTCCCACATTGCAAAGAATAATAATATAGCGTAACCCAAAGCACCTAATTTCATCTTACATCAGAACAGCTAGAATGATGAAAGGTGATTACTATCTGCTATATATGTTATAGGCTGGTGCATTTTGTACATCCCACTGAGCTGACATGAACATCTGAATCTCACTTGTCATATCTGAACATTAATCCAAACACCAAACAAAATGTAATAGATAGTATTTCTTTCACTTGTGTCTTTTTGCCATAAAGGAACTTTGGATGCACTGATTGCAAACATTCAATAGACAATGAAACATATATACTGTATGTATATCGTATTGGCACTTGACACAGTTGACTTTTCTACAGTTTTAGCTCCATTAAACGTGTTAGGAAAGTGGAGTACCACAGCAAATCCTTCATCTGCTTCCTGAACTTCATTGATGAAGTTATTCTTGTTGATGGCGATCTGGACAGATTTATTTCAGAAAGGAAGTTTGCTTCAGTTTCTTTGTTATTCTGTAGAAAAGTTCCCGGTCATCCCTGAAAACCTTTATCATGGTTCCAGCAACCAGACGCCAGCATAAAAAGGGCACTCACATTGCTCATAGCTAAATTTTATCTTTAAAAGGGCCATGTAGGCAAGATATGAAAATACACTAGAAGGTGCAACCAACTTGCACATGGTTAATCTTACGTCCTGAGATGTGTGTTTCACTGATTGGTGCCTGTTTATACACAGATTACACAATTGTCTACAACTGTCAGTGAATAAACTTGCATCCTATTGCATAGCTGCCAGCAATACAAGGCAATATAGTTTAGCAGATGGTTTTGGCTTCCTAATGGCTGCTATAGTAGAACTATGGTCAGACCATAAAGTCACAGATCTAGACTGACCATACCGCCGCCGCTACTTAGGCTCCCTGTTTTTCTAAGTATCCTTCTGGCACATTTTGTAAATACCTGTTAATCATGACAGTTGAACCACTTTGATAAGGTGACAATGCTTTTCCCACTGCAGTGAAATCACTGCAATTGTCACCCCTGCTGCTATAGCTGCTTAGAGTGCATGCTGGCACCGTTTGCAGTCCTGTCATGCAATAGCCACATCTAGAGCCACCCAGAGAATAAAACATTAGAGGATTTAGAATTTACATGGACTTAAAGTCCACAGGACTCCATACAACGGTACCCAGAAAAGTGAAGTTTTACTGCTTGTGACATAATTGCTTCTGTTTCAAGTTTCTTGTGATGCCTGGCTGTCACAGAGAGAGGTCTGTGAGGTGGCCTACATCAGGGCTGCCTTGCTAGAATTGCAAGAGGGTGGTAACAAGACCGTTTACCCTGCTCAAAGAAAGATAGAGCAGCGGGATTGGTTCAGGCCTATAAAAGACCTGCCCTGAAGCACTGTGCAGTTAATATTTAGAGGAGATCTCCAGGAATCTTAAAAAATAACCCTTGCAGCGGGGCTACTACAGCAACGCAAGACTTAATTGCTCATTTTGGTCTAGGGGCTCAAATTAAAAAAATATACTCAAGGCCTGCTGACGTCATCACGTCTAATGCAGGTCTACGGATTTGCATTAGATGTGAGGATGCCGAGGGACCAACCGAAGCGCAGGGGGGGAGAGATGAGTGCTGCCCATGGCAGGACTGACAATCAGATATATCTCTGATAGTCCGACCTAGAGAAAAAATGAGCACCTAACCCTTGCAGTACTGAGGTAGCCCCACTGCAAAGGTTAACTTTTGAAATAACTGGAGTTCTTCTTTAAGGAGGCTGTATGCATGGAATGCTCCAGGATTTAGAAAGTATCACAAATACATTAGCAGTTTATTTGTTCTGTTCTGACATTGACCCAACTAGCGGCATGAACGTTAATGGTCATATGGTGACTTAACTAGTAGAAGTGATCGGTTTATGGACGAAGACTTTTGCTGGCAGTCTGATGACAGCTGTCAAAGGTGGAATTTCACTTCTTTTTGGGGAGACTTCCCAGATAAACCGAGCTAAAAATGGTTTTGGATGAAGTTCTGCTTTTACTCCTTCCTCCCTCTTCTCTCTTTGTTTTTTTCAACAACAAGGAGCTCAACGCATCATCCAACAACGATCTGCACCCTCTGGGTGCATGCGGGTGCTGACAACAATGTAGAAATCAAGAATATGCACACTGACGGTCACCGCTTGTATAATTTAATCCATAAAAATCCTGCGTCCACCATGGAAGGAATCCTCACCCAACTGCTGCCCAACGCTTACGCATTTTAGCCTATTGGGCCTAGTTGTAGAGATTATCTACGACTAAGCACATAAGGGTGAAACACGTAACAGGTGGGTGGCTGCTGGGCAGGAATTCCTTCCATGGTGGACACTGGGTTTTTAGAGACTAAAATACACAATTGGTAAATGGAGTTGTGCGGCTTTAGTCTTTTTCTACAGTGTTTATTTCTGTTTAATCTGCTATATGTACATTGTTGCATTTTTTAAGTTTAATCTCCCTTTTTATGTAGCGTTGTGCAGGGTACAGCCACCCAGATCACTTGTACCTGAAAGCTGGGTGTTGGTTGAAAATATGCGCTGGAGCTGCGATCTTGGTGTTAACCACATTATGACCCGATGTATATATGTACAGTGGTCCTAAAGTGGTTAAGCAGTAACTCCATATTCCAGCTATAGTTACCTTTAGAACGTTTACTCAGTTCGCCTTCAGTCGGAGAAATGCTTAAATCATGTCGTATAAGTTCGAAATACTGCTTGACAGGACTGCAGCCTTTTGTCATCACTTTCTGCTGTGATACCTTACTCTCAGAGCTGTGCGTGTATATGGGCAGGCCTGAATATCAGAGGGGCGGGGCTTTGGAGGGGGGGCTGCTCGAGCTGAATCAGGGCTATTCTGACGATGGCAACAATTATAATGATTTAGAGAGCAGGGAAGCCAGGCGTGAAAGATGAACGCCGGTAATTTAAAGGCAACATTCTAAATTAACCAATCAGAGAACCGGTGCATATATTTTTCAATTTATATATCAGGTGTTTATTGCATTCTGTATATTTCTCTTTAGCTTAAAATGGTGGCATAAGCAAATGAGCAATATATATATATA